TATAAAACGATTATCAATGCATCTTGATGCATCTTTTTTTCTATACAGTATTTTTTTTTTCTCACTGTGTGACAACTTGGAACTTTTAAAGCAAAGTACTTGTAAGGATGCAAATCCTTGGCAATAAAAGTTGCAATAGAGTTTGTAGTTTGCTTCGTCCTTTCCAAGTTGGGTGGAAGCTCTGACATCGCTTGATTGATGGTCCTCTGGTTGGCAGCAACTACAACCGGACTGAAAATGGATGGAAACATGTAATATGGTTTTCACCATCAACTCCACAGAAGCCAGTACACTAGCTCAAGCGTCTGCAACCTCTTTTACTGGCCGGTCGTGGCTCCACATCAGAATTAGATTTCTCTGCTGATCGTTCAAACACAGTTTTAACAATAAATGATCTTAAACGCTGGAATTAATGTAGCCTATAACTGCTAGTCCACTTAGCTAGTAGCTAATGAAAAGGCAAAGAGAAAGATTTAAGATGAACATTGATAATTTGGAGACGGTCTTATTAACGTTATAATCACTCCAGCTGGTTTCCTGATACATTTAGTCTGGAACGAGAAACTATTAAACACCAAAAAAACGTGAAGCCGAAGTCAGCTTCTAATTCACCAGCTTCTTGTTTGAATTTGTCCGTTCTATCTTAAATGGTGCAGCATTTAAGAAGTGACTTCAGCCTCATAAAAAGTAGAACATTGAGAGACATTTTACAAGAAACTGTTCTACTTTTGTGGAAAAGTTTCCAGTTGGTGATGCAAGAAAAGCGGCTACAGCTGAGCTAAAGCTTAAAGTAGAGCAAAGTAAGTCTGCGTTTTTGTTTGTATTATATTTTTACCCTACACTAGTACATTAGCATGTACTGAGACACATGTACAGCCAAGATGGTAAAATGGACTCAAAATGTTGTGGCTCCCAAGGTGGTTTGATTTTTGTTGAAAAGACAAAATGACTCTTATTACCATTTGGGTTGCAACCCCTGCACTAGCTTTTAATGTAGTGTGCACACCACAGACTGTCCTGGCACTGCACTTCCGCACTTTGCACAGTTCCGCCTTTTGCATTCCGTCAACATTACTTTATCAATTAAAATTTAGATAATCGATTTTTGACATTTGCGAATCGATTCAGAATCGTCCATGTCCGCATTGCAATGCATCTAAGAATCGATTTTTTCCCCCCACCCTTACACATGTCGTTTTACTGGTGGTTTTGGATAGGAAGTAAAATGACTGCATTTGCGTTGCAAATCTATTGACCCTTGGTTCCTAACACTAACACTGTAAATAAATCCATGTTGGTATGTTTTTCAACAGTGAACCATTTCACATCAGACCACTCTGACTGTTTGCATTTCAATTATGCAGGATTTTTTTAATTAGTCAATTTCTGTTTTAAGCTTTGGCCTAAAGTTATTTTAATGTTACTTTTTCTATCCCCACATAAACTTATCTGGACTTTTCTCTTGGTAGTTGCCTGTGCAGTGAAGCCATTTCTAAATCTTCATTTTTATTCAGTTATAAAGCCCTATCTATAAGGAATTACCTTTTTTTTCTTTCACACCAAATGCCATCATTAAGCGTATGTTGCGCGAAGCAGCTTCATTAACCAATAATGATCCCGAGACCACCTTTGGCACGGTCCTTTGGGGCCTGTACAATGGTGTCTGCCTCAGGAAGTCTTCACGTTACAGAGCAGGACATTAGCAGAGTCATAGGAGGGGAGGGGAGAACTGTTCCTCTAAAAATAGACAATGAGAAACTAGGCCAGGGCACAGAGCAGGCATCTGGCACACATGAAGAGGATACTTTTGTTTTTGCCTTTTTTTTTTTGGCGTTCACTGTAGACTGTAGCAACATAATGCTTGTCAGTGATGTTTGTATTTGTTGCCCAAATGCTCAACAGTAGCCTGGTGTGCCTTTTTAAATCTTTTCGATGTCTCCATTCCAGGCAATGTCAACTCTTGTTTCCTATGTTTACTTACAGAACACAGTTTTATGGCCTTTAAACGCTGTCCCTGAAACATTTACGTAACTGTTTGCAGGGGATTGAGACAATATGTAGTCCTCTGAATTTTCTTTAGGCTTGAGAATGCCCCTAAAATGTAACTCTGAGTCTGAAGCCTCGGCCACCCGTGTGCCATTATACTCTGGCGTGTAACATCAACTGAGCGTCAATGAAAATATTGCAGTTTGTGCAACCTTCTGTTTAGCTCGTGCCTCACGGTAATGCTTCCTAAATGCAGATCAGTGTAGCAGTGTACTGGAGCACTACTCTTGCTCTGTGGCGAACCCATTAATAGAAGAACTCTGCTTCATCAGCTGCCTAGCTTCAGCCATGTGATGTAAAACAACATAATGCTTTGATGTGGGTGTTGTTGTTTGTTGGTAATATTTTTGGGGGGCCATGCAAGTCTCAGATTCATTTGCATGCATGGAGCGAGCCTCTGGTGTAGTGTAAATTACATCTGCCAGTGAGGAGAACGATTGCAACGACTAACTGAGAATTTGATTTGCATTGTAACATTGGCCTTGTGTGGCTGGGGCTGAATTTCTTTTCCAAGTTTTTTGTTCTGATTGATTGATGACATGAACTACATTCCGATTCACTTTTCGGAGTAGATCATGTGTATTGATACCGATACTGTGCTCATTTACTTGTACTTGTAAAATATACACTGAAACCAACTTCCGATACCACCTGATACCATGTGACATAAGCCTAGTGTACCCGGCTGCACTAATGAATAAACTACTCAAGCTGGCAGTAAACGAGGGTCCACTTACATAGTGTGGCAGTTGGATGCATAGTCGTTGATCTCTTTAAACATTTTGCCTTGGTGTAGCCTCTCCAGGCAGACACTGTGCAATTTCAGCCTGTTTTTAAACACACACAATCACAACCACTTCCCCAATACGAGTGGAGACACGTAAGCTAGCAAAACAGGCACAAAAACTTTGCTAGTCTGTATATGTCAACTTTACTCTGTTTGACTGAATAGAGTTGGGAGATATAGCAATAAATATCTATTTTTTTAATTGTCTTTGTTAATCAGGCTGTAGAGAGACCGAATTGTTTTACCATATACATCACCATCTGAATTTACTTGTAGTGCACATTGTGGCACAAGTTAGCAAAGCCGCTGTAGTGTTAGCTTAGTTTCTCAGCGTTTTTGCTTGGTACTCGGACAAGCAGCATGTTGTTTTGAATTAAACAGCTGTATTAAAAAGTCTATCGGAGACTGTAGGAGCAGCATTTCATGTAGCGTGTTATTCTGCCCAAGCATTTTCATACACTGTGAGCCCATAAGTCGAGGACATTGTCCATACACGATGGTCTGTTCAAACATACAGTTTGAGATTTCCAAAATCACACAGTTTGTGCCTGGCTTAGAGGACATTCAACTACAGCTCAACCTGCCAATCAGAAGACTCCAACAAGACATAAAACTCGAAACGTGAAGTCCTCAGATGCATTACTGGATGTAATTCTTGCTGTCACAGTGCTACAGAGACTATTGTTGAAAGAGACAGATGAGAAGTTTGGGATCTAATCTATGAAGCATACTTTGCTTACAGCTATACAGAAATGGTTTTCTGACATGGAAGATAACCCACTTATCTACACTTCAGAGCTGCTCGATCCAATGTAACACAGCTAACGTTAGCTAATGCAGATAGATTTTAATGGTTTAACTGTTAAGGTGCATTGTACTCATTTACTATAACGACTGCTTAATTTAAATAGGTTACTTACTATGGTATCGTTATCAGCAAGTACTAAAAACTGCATGTATCATAAAATAGAGTTGTAGAGAACTAACCATTTGCCTAAAGTGCATAGTAACAAGTAGCTGATTACATGCCTACCCTTTATGCCATTATCACATTAATATCACATTTTTAGTCAACATGAAATGATTTTTTTTTTCAAAAAGTTACCTTGTTAGTTCATGTCCCTGGTGATATTAAGCACAATTTACCGTTTAAAACACATTTAATATTTCTTGTTTCCTGTAATCTTCCATCAAACTTTTCTGTCCAATACAGGTACAAGCTATTTATTTTTCAGTGTTAGAAAAAGCATAAAACATTACAGAAAATTACACAGAAGCCTCAGTGACTAAATATGGTATATATTTTAGTATTTAGTATTTTAGTATTTAACTTACTTTCAATGTGATTTCAGTTTTCCAAAGAAATCTGCAGGGATATTTTCTATATTTTCTTTTTTAAGTTCAGCCCTAGAAGTTGGTTGGATTTTCTGTTTCTCACAATCCAAGTAATCCCAAACTCATTCAGTGATGTTGGGGTCTGGACTGTGAAGTGGTCAGTCCATTGTTCTCAGAACCCCAACAGCTCCTTTGTTTGATTTTTCCTTCTCTAAGGGCTTCTTGACATCTGCACGTCCTTTCAAACTCATAGTGTTGAGTTGTCTTCTCACAGTGGAAGGATGGACAGAAACACATCTTTCGGATCTGAAGCAATAGTGGAACATGATTTTCTTCTTTCAAAGATTTAACAGCTTAATTACTGTTTATCTGATGGTGACAGTTTTGGTGGTCTATCAGGTCTTACATGGATATGAAGAATCCCACTTTCTCTGTATCTTTGAAAAATTTTCTGACGCTTGATTTGGAGACTCAAGTATTTTATATCTGTTCCACTCAGAATTCTGTCCTGAAAAATGGATAACTTTTACTTCTTGAGAAATGTAGAAAAACTGAGGTGTCTCTGACTTATGCACAGGAAAAATGCGTCATAATTTCCAGTTAACATTGACTTATTGACTAAATAGAAAAAAATAACTAAAAAAAATTGTACTTGTAGTTTCTGGTTCTTACTTGTAAATTTGCCAGAACTGTTTAAAGCTAAATAGTGTGATCACTTATTATATATTGTGAAAATGTGTTCAGGAATTAGTGTTATTTTTGCCACATTGCCCATCCTTATGTGGTTATCTTACTTCCTTCTGTTTTTCTTCACCTCCTCCCGTCTGTAAAGCTCCTCCAACTGTTCGCATCATCCACTCCGGCCACGCATGCAACGTGGAGGACGAGCGGTACAGTGAGAGGGTGTATACGATCCGGGAGGGTGAGACGCTGGAGCTGGTCTGCCTGGTCTCAGGGCATCCACGGCCGCAGGTGAGTCTCTCTTTGGCAACTAATCCACAGCACTTTGGTCATCAGCCTGAGGTAGTTCATAGTTCTATCTGGTGGCCTAGTTGGTGGGATGGATTACATTGTAAAAAAATTATGATTTCCAGTTGTTTTTTCGGTATCACTTTATATTTCATATGATCTGATACTCTGTTGGAGGTTACCATTTTATGCAGTATGTTAACTTCTCGGAATCAGGACAGTTTTCCTTAAAGCGTGCAATCAGCAAACAGCTGATTATTATTATTTTGATTTAGTCTAATCTGTCACTGTTTTATGATATGAATAAGTGTACTGGCACTGTATTTGAATGCTGCTGCTACATCTGTACCAAAATGTCGTAGCATAATTATGCATAACTCATTGTGCTTAAAAGCCAGTCGGTGAGCCAATATTTAAAAATAAGGTACACCATGATATTCATCACACGCAATATTAGTATCATGGACACTTTCAAATAGTGCATTCCATCAGTGCATTTTAGTCAAATGAGTTGCAGTTTCATCAGAGATGTTTTAAATATGCAGAGTAGCTCTGGTTCCACACGGTCTACTATGCAGTCACACTGTGATCTCATGCTTTATTTGATGTTTGTACTGTGTCATTGGTCTGAGCACCTTCACAGCTCACTGTAAAGGTTGCAGTGCTATCCTGTCATACACAATGTGCTAGCTGGAGTACCAAAGGCCTACCACCCAGCCTGAAAACAAACAATCTAGTGGAAATATGACTACTATTAAGACTGTCCAAATATACGTGCCATCAGGGAAGTATTTTCAAAGAGAGAAATCACCAAAATGTATCCCCAACCACCAGATTCCACTTACTTTTGATGGAGCACTTTTATAGTTGTTATTTAAATAGGCAACTGATTCTCTTTAGAAAATTTGAAATGTATTTAATAAAAGACTTTTATTATATTGTATGAAGCAAGTCAAGCTTTGTTTATATTATGTTTAGATTATATATAGATATACATAGATATATAGATTAAACACAATCTCTATTACTGCAAAATGATATACCACATTCTGTATGTTTTGCCTCTTTTTAATGTCATATTATCTTTTATTTCAAGAGTATACATCAAAACAACAGTTTGGGATTTCACTGACCAAATATTGTCAAAGGGCTCTCAAAGTAGAAAGAAAAAGAAAACTTTACCGCAGTTCTCTCTATTTTACCTTTGCTTATGTGTTCTTAATCTTAAAATCCCCTCTACTCCTCATGCCTTGCAGGGAGTCAATCTGTACCATTGCCTGCCTGTCTTTTTAGATAGGCAGCTCTTTGCACCTCTTGTTTTGGTCTTACTGCAGCATTTGCAGTGTAGTCCCACCAAGCAAATGGAGAAAACGTGATGGCCACAAGGGAAATCACTGAATGTGAACAACTGCAGAAGCATGCCATGAATCTCCCAGGAGACAAAGGCCAACACTGCGAGAATTCCTCACACTCAGACTAAGCACCTAAAAATCCAAATATTAGCAAACAATTCAAATCAAATAGTTTCCCTTTCAGTTGTGCTTATCCCTTGTGCATAAGACTTGCATGCACTTGACCAGATGTTCACAACTCCTGTCCTAGAAGACTAGTTTCCAGTGCAGTTTGGCGAGTTACCTGCTTAAATACACCTGATTCAACCCAGCTGTTAAAGGTCAGGTTTAGGGGAACCACCAAACTATGCTGGACACTGGTCCTCCAAATCATACAATTCTTTGTAGATGTTACACAGTAAGTTATTACATGAAAATATTTCAACATTAATAAATTTCTACAGCGGGGGTAGATTTTGTCACAGCATGACTAAAATGGGTGCAAAACCACTTTTTTCTGTCAGCTTAAATTGAGCATTTTTTGTGTAAAAATGTATAAATGAAATACATTTAAACAAAATTAGTCATAAATATGTTTTACTTGTATATTTTTCATGTGAAAAATATTCATGCCTCTATATTTTTTTAATTACTTAAAAATATTGTTTATGTAGATTTATTTGTTAGAAATATATTTTATAGTGAGTAAGTGGTAATAAAGACACGTACATTATATAATAATTATTTTAGCAAAAATATATGTATATATTTAATATATGTAAAATATATTGGCTACTTCATGGTGGTTCAAAATTAGTAGGGCAAAGCACTGTTGTTGACAGCAGCTGTTGGAGTGGGTTTTGTGACTTGTCAGTCAAGCTGTTCAGTGGTAATTTGTGATGATATAATCCTTTTCACTAAGTACAGTGTAATTGTTCTTTATTCACAACCAGCATAAGAGTTATTAAGCTATATTGCTAACTTTTTTCCTTTGCAGTTTTAATCACAATGACTTGGAAATCACTGGTTGTCAGTTTTAACACTGCCATAGTTTGCTGCCTTAACTCTGTCGTACACTCAACTGAGGTGAGTGAACTACAGAGGTTTCTGAAAGTCAGAAAGTCACTAGTACTTTTGAAAACACATATTCTATCTTTGTAGAATACGAAACACATATTAGCCTTGTCTGAGATTTCTGTCAAGAATTTATTGACAGATTTGAAATTGCTGTGCAATTTGAATTTAAACAGATTTTTTCTGTGTACTAGGGTTAAAGAATAGATTAAATTTGTTGCTCTTTACCCGGATCAGCCAAAATAAATTCACAAATATATAGATGTTGAAATGGAGAAAATCTGACTCTAGAACGAAGAGCAAAGTGTATGTTCATTAGGGCTGGATATCACTAAAATTATTTTTGATTACAAAACTGATGCCTTAATTTTAATAATGATACCTGAACATCACATTTATTGGTACCTCCTTTAACAAACCGAAAGTGGACGTGGTTTAAACAAGAAATGAGAGTGAGTTGCAGGAACTACAGAAACGTTGACAGAAACGGATTGCACACTACTCTGGCCTGTTTATACCTTGTGTTAGTGTGTTTTTGCTTATCAGATCACGTTTGGATTTCATTTGACTGCATGAACAGCCAGATGTAAACACCCCCAGTAAGCACTGTGATCAGATTACGATCAGATCGCTCAAACCACATTTGGAGGTGGTCAGAGACAGATGTTGACCGCATTTAACAGAAGCGTAAACTGAAGGTGTTTTCGGTATCTGTATACAAATGCGTGAGCTGAAATGTATCTATGGAGCGTCTTACTGGCAGGTGAGATAATAAACAACAAAACAAAAGATGGAGGATATGCAAGGCTGAAGTAAGCCCCCTGAATTCCAGGCCAATGAATGCATCCAAGCCAAGCCTGTCAATTTATATCACAAATAACAGGGAAAAGAGTGAACAAAATCTATGTGTACGCTGGCATGCTTTTTACGCAGAACGTCACACTGGCGACGCATTTTAGTGAAAAGATGCGTAAAAAGATCTTATCCAGATACGATCAGGACACAAAACACATTAATGCAAGTTGTAAACAAGCTCATTGAGAAGCGTTTGTGTCAATATCATATTTTCAGAATACAGTTTAGACAGCCAGTTAGCAGTCTTGAGCAGACTTGAGCAGTCATGAATGGTAAGACTGTACAAATTGACAGCCTTGATGATTTAGAGGAAAATCATGTTAATGCATTCATAGGAAGGCATGTGATTCATCAGGCTGTTCAGATTTCCTGCTTGATTCTGCATCACATCAAGCAAGCGTCTTGCCCTGCACTCAAACAAACATGGTCGCTCTTACTTTCGCTGTTCTGCTATTATCTCTGATGGACAGGACAGTGTAAAACAGTCGTGTAATTTATAGCAACATCACCATTCAGAGACAGAGAACTTTAAGAACTTTACCTTCTTTAAGACTTTGCCATATAAAACCTGGATAATGTTTTAATGAGAGGAGGACATAGGACACTGAACATTTAATATAACATTCAATTTTTATTTTGTTACATGGCACTTGCTTTAGGATTCTATATAGTCTTTTATTATAAACTAACTTAAAACATAAAACATGTGTGGTCTCTCTGTATTGTGCTGTGATGCAGCTGTACTTGAGCTCTCGACCACCGCTGAAGGGCCACACCTCTTATCCCTCCCCCTTTACTAAGACAGTCAACGAGAGCAGGTATAAAATATGTCTCTTTTATAGCATAAAGCACACCTGCTCTTTCCTTGAAATAGACTGACAAGGTGAATCCAAGTGAAGGCTATGATCCCTACTTTCTCTCGTTAAATACCCCTCAGTGTGAAGAGTTAAAGAAGGATTTTTATAGCTATAGACAGTTGAGACATGGACTGAGTATGTGAGTTGTGATGGAGATTAGGTGAGGAAAAAAGACTTAAAGTGTCTTTGAATGGGGTTTGATAATAGGTGCTTGGCATGCTTGTATCGGTGCATCTGAAATGGTCCACTGCACAGATGATATCCAGGTAATAGCGGGCCAGTGGATGAAAAAGGCCTATTGAGAAGAGGTGAAAGAAGGCTGACACAAATCAGATCAACAGACGGACTCCAACTAGTTGACTAACATACCAGTAGAAGCCTGGAGCAGGCAAAACCTCTACAAATATACACAACCCATCATACTTTGACATGAATAGGGTGTGATGGCTAGTATTTCTCTAATTTCTAATTTTTTAATCTCTGCTGCAAAAAAACAAGAAACGGTGGTGGCAGTAGACAAAAGAATGAAAGCACAAGAAAAACATGGCCTAACCTGCTTTAGTTTGGTGTTTGCTGTTTCACATTATGGGAAGGGTAGGGTGCAAACAACGCATGTACCCATGCACCCATTATGCTGGTGGTGATGTGATGAATTAAGTCACACAGTGGACTAAGATACCGGTTTATCCCAGCATGACATTAATAATTTTTTTCGTGGAATTGCTGACTGTGTGTGGCTGGGAACAGCATTTACGCTCGTCTGAGCAGCTGTTAGCCCTGCTGTACTAAAGCGGCTCTCCATAGCTGCTACTTGGAGAAATGTTTAACACACTTCAGACGAGCTTCGCAAGCAAGGGGGAAAGATCTGCTGTGACCTTTTAACCAA